AATTCCTTCGATGCACCTTGGACTTACTTCCTCCTTTAGTATCATTGGCTCTTGATCATATACTACCTCTTGAAAAGGTTGAACATCAACTATTTCCTTTTGGTTCAGTGACTCTTCACATTCTTTCCATCTTTTGATGCTTTCTGTGTCATTCAATAATTTGCCCAGAGAATCCTTCAATAACAAAAATGGAGGCTTGAATTTTTTTCTTCAGTTCCCTCAGTTTAAGAAATGCTGAGCATATTCTTCCCTTTTTGGTTTTCTGACTCCAGATCTTTACACATTTCATTGTAACATTTGCTTTGCCTTCTCAAGCTGACCTTTGAAATTTTCTGTTCAGCTCTTGTATCTCTTCATTTTTTTCCCCATTTGCATTAGTATCTCTACATTGAAAAGCAAGCTTCAGTGTCTCTTCTAACGTACACTTTGATCTTTTCCTTCTTTCTTGTCTTCTTAATGACTTTTGCTTTCTTCTCATATGATGTTCCTGATGTCATCCCACAAATCTTCTTGTCTTCAGTCTTTAATGTATCAAATGTGCTCTTCAGATGATCTCTAAATTCAGATGGGATATGCTCAAGGTCATATTTTGGCTCTTGTGGACTTGTTTTTATTTTCTTTGGTTTGAATTTGCATATGAGCAATTGATGGTGTTCCAAAATCTGCCTCTGGCCTTGTTTGACTGATGATATGGAACTTTTCCATCGCCTCTTTCCATAGGTAGAGTCTATTGATTTCTGTGTGTTCCATCTGGTGAGTTCCATGTGTATAATTGTCTCTTATGCTGTCTAAAGAAGATATTTGAAATGAACAAATCATTGATTTTGCAGAATTCTATCATGTGATCTCCAGCATCATTTCTATCAACAAGGCCATATTTTCCAACTACTGATTCTTCTTCTTTGTTCACAACATTTGCATTCCAATCAACAGTAATGTTCAATACATCTTGATTGCATGTTTGATCAATTTCAGATTGAAGATGTTGCTAGAATTCTTCTATTTCAACCTCACTAGCTTTAGTGGTTGGTGCATAAATTTGAATAATAGTGGTATTAGCTGGTTTTACCTGTAGCAACATGGATATTATCTTATCACAGTCAGCATTATACCTCATGACTGATCTGGATATGTTCTTTTTGATGATGAATGCAACACCATTCCTCTTCAATTTGTCATTTCTGACATAGTAAGACATGTGGTTGTAAGATTCAAAATGGCCAATACCACTCCATTTCAGCTCACTAATGCCTAAGACATCGATTTTTATGCATTCCATTTCATTTTTTAAAATGTTTATTGTGAATTATGTGATAGTTTACATGGGAGCACATTAGCTTTAGATTCTTCTTATCCTATATCATTTCATTGTCATGGTTACAATCTTCTCCATGCATCATTAACCAACCAAAGGTTATATCCTGCAAGTCTGCCCCTTGTTCATCAGCACACAGCCCCACTCCCTCTCTGGGTCTAAAGTCCCCAGCCGCTCCATCTCTCCACATCATCATCTCTGCCGCCATCTCTGGCATCACTGCTTCTCTGGGTAGGGTCCTGTTCGCTGCTCTTCTCCCTTGATGGTCCCAGAGATCTCCGTTCCTAGACTGCAAAGTTAATCACTCCCCTCCTTGCTGCAAATTGTCTACCTTTACATTCCCAACCCTCACAATCAGTCCTGATAACAATTATTCACTATTGTATCACAATAGACCTATTAGCATCTCTTTTCATCAGCCCCACCCAGACAGATTGGATACTACTCAGTGGAGAGTCTACCTTCCTCCACACCCTCTGGATCTAAGTTCTCTCTTGAAAACTTATAAACCAGTCACTTTTTGCCTTTGTAGCCTCCACATTTTGGGTAGCCAATGTTCAAGTTGCCCATCACTGTCTAACTTTGTGTATGGAGGAGGTGGGAATGATCCTAGCTGTAAAGATGTTTTCCCTCTTTTGAGCTACTTCACCCATAGGTGTAGGTCAAGTTCATCAAATTGTGTCAGATTATTCTTTTTTTCCTCTTCTTTCTTGGTTTAGTTGATCTCTGATCATCTAGTCTTTGAAGCCAAGTTGAGTGGGTATTATCTGCAAGTGTGCAACTTCTTATGCATATTCTCTCTCTTCTTATAAGCTGGACGTGTTACTCTCCACTCTAGTCCTCTGTGGCTATGTCACTGACTCTGGGCCCAAGAGTCCTCAGGTCTTGCCACACTGCTGGCCGACCAGGTCTCTAGCTGGGTTCCCAGGAGTCTATTGAATGTTGTAGGGCTTTAGCGTGCAGCTTTACTGGTGTTTTTCCCTCACTTTCCCTTATCAGTGATGAACATGGTCATTGCACAGAACATGTATTACCATTGAGTCTTAGTCTTGGAAGGGGTTTGCCCTGAGGGGATCCATTTCATTTTCTACAATTTCTAATTTTCCTAGATTCATACATTGTACCTTCCATGTTCTGATTATTAATGGATGTTTACAGCTATTTCTCTTCATTTTAAGTTGTGCCCCATCAGCAAATGAAGGTTCCAAGGGATTTTCTCTCATGGGCTTTACTCCATTTGCATCATCATAGTCAACTCTACTTTGAGGAGGCAACTCTTCCCTAGTCGCATTTGAGTGCCTTCCAATCTGAGGGGCTCATTTTCGGACACTATATCTGACAGTGTTTGTCTGCTATTCATAAGGTTTTCAGTGACTAAATATTTGGAAATAGTTCGTCACTCCTTCTTCTGTCTGTCTTCTTCTGGAAGCGCATGTGAAACCTGTCCATCATGGGTGATCCTGCTGGTATTTAAAATACTGATGGCATAGTTTCCAGAATCAAAGCAACTTACAAACCACCACAGTATGACAAACTGACAGAGGAGTAGTGGTATATGGTCAGTGGAAAACAGGAAGACCCTCTATGAAATATATTGATACAGTGCAAGAAGTGTTACTAACCATCACTCCCACAGCACTCTCAACTCATGCTGGATCTGATGATTCATTGCAGGAATGACTACACAGAGAACTCAAACAACATACTCATATATCATAATAAACTCATAATTTATTAGGGAAGGTCATAGGTTACAATTCAGGGTCAGAGGTATTCATAGCACAGTTCTTGCAGTAAGGACAACTTCTCCTCTGCCGTGCCTACAGATGGGCCTCTCTGGCCCTCAGGCCCTTGGCTTAGACTCTGCCTTACTGAAGCAATGTTACAAAGTTCTTTTAGGGCTGCTGCTAAATGATCACAATACACATAACTTGACCATTAATCTCAGTCTGAAGGCACTCAGCTCTAGCTCCAAAGATCAGAAAACCTAGCTCCCCCAATTAAGTGCCCAATCTGCAAGCTAACCTCTTGCCCAAAGTCATCTTTTTTTCTCTGTGGGCTGTGAAATTCACCACTGTCTTCTCATTCTCTAACTCTTGATTCTGCTGTAGCTGCTCCTCTGCTACTTTTCTGGTGTCACATCATTTTGCTGCTGAGCCACGGAGGATCAATGTTTGGAGATTTCAGTGTCCAAATGGCATCCTGCACCACTGGCTCGTCTTCTTTGATGGTAGTGTGATCCTCACTCCTGTTTCTGAGACGACTCATTTTAAAACCTACTTTAGAGTTACAAGTTTTTACAACTACAATTAACTCTGTTAACAATCACAACTGAATCATATCATCATAGAAGCATCTTCTCACATCATTTTCACCCACACCTGACAGGAAAAAGTTGTTTGGTGGAAGTTACAAGGACTATGGGTAGAAGAGTCATATGAAGTAATCCATTGTACTACAAACCGTAGCTTCAACAATGAGCTCAAACATAGCAACAATTGTGAGGATGGAGTAGGACCAGGCAGTGTTTCCTCCCATTGAACACAGGGTCACTATGAGTCATGCCTACTGAATGGCACCTCACAATAACAGCCATACTTTACCCTTATATACCAAACTGCTTTCCCTTCAAAAACACAACCTAAAATTGATCAGATTTTCACAGACTAACAAGACAAAATTTTCACAGACTAACAAGACAAAAATAACTTCACTAAATGAAGTCCAGATGTGTCACAGTAGGATAAGTACTGGACAGCTAACCACCAAGTAGTCAGTTTAAACCACCAGCTTCTTCTTGGAAACTTTATATAGGGCTACTATTAGTCGGAACTAACTTGATGACATTTAACAATAACAACAAACTAAAAATGAAGAAAAAGGAAAAACACAAAACACAGAAGATACGAAAAATCAATATAAAAAATTTCCCAAGTGTAAGGTTCTAATACTCAAAGTAACTATGGTTCAGGGAAATGTATGTATACATTTATATATTTCCCCCTGAAATATATATAACACACATAGAAAGAGAGAGATGGTTAAATGTTGACAACTGGGTAACGTGGAAGTTCTTTGTGTTACTCTTTGAGGTTATCTGTTCTGCCATGTTGAAATTTTTTTTTAACCGTTTTAACTGCAGAGAATATGGCACTATAAGTCAACAACATTATATTTTGATGCTACTTCATACTTTTCAAGTATTATACTATCTTGGAGGTAACATTACATATCTTCTTATTTTTTCCTTATATCAGATTTTTGGGCTAATTCCTAATTAAAAAATAAAAAGAAATGTAGTATAACAAGGTAAAGAAATGTAATATACACAAAGGCTCTCTGGTAGTGTTGTGGTTACAAGCTGTGCTACTAACCTTTCGGTCAGCAGTTTGAAATTACCAGAGGTTCCACGGAAGAAAGATGAGGGTTTCTGCTCCCGTAAAGATTTACAGCCTCAGAAACTCTGTGCAGGGTTGCTATGAGTCTGAACCAACTCCATGGCATACCACCACCAATATATCAACTTTGCAAAATTAATTCCTGAAGAATTATAAAGTAAACAAATTGTTATTTTTTATTCTAACTGCAATGTAAATGATGTAATTCAGAATAAGAAACATTACATTTTGTTTTTAGTGGAAGTAACAGTATAAGTCATTTTGCTTACTCTTTCTCTCCTGCCTAGGTTTCATATGTCAAAGCTATTGACATATGGATGGCAGTATGCCTCCTTTTTGTGTTTTCAGCACTTCTGGAATATGCAGCTGTAAATTTTGTTTCAAGACAACACAAAGAACTTCTAAGAATTCGACGAAAGAGAAGGAATAAGGTAAGCAATTAAATGTATTGAGTTTGTTCGGATACCGATTTTCACTGGAAGCTGATTTTTTTATATTTAATAGAGATTAACAGAAAGGGAATTTGGGACAATTATGGTATTGCTTTGGTTTTCTCATATTTGAAACATATATGTCAAAAATAGCTTCAGGGATAAAATGGTGACGCCTCAATATACTTTACACAGCATATCTGGTGACATGAGAACTGTACCAATGTCTTCCTAATGCATTTCCTAAAATACCGTTGTTTTTTGTTTCAAGTAGCAAAAAATAACATTCATTATTTGCAATTTAAAATGTGTCTTTAATGGTTTCACTTGATGTAAGCAATCAAATATAATTTTGAAGTTATTCTTACTTTTGAACTAATGCTATTGTTTCCATCAAATGTTACTAACACTGTGATGGTAAACTTATGTAAAGCTATGTAGCCTCTTTTTGATGCATACTTTTTGCATTCTTAAAACATTTCTTCTAGAACAATTTCTGATAAAAGATGAAAGTTGAACAGCAAAGAACATTTATTTAGAACATCAATCTAAGACTAGAGGATTTGTAGAAATAATCAAACTTAATTTGGGCATTCAGAGTGGTGTTGCTTCTCTCTGTTATGCCTTATAATGGCATCTCAGCTTACTGGCAAACAGTTTTGACCAACCTCTTTTCCTTTTTGGTAAGGGGGAGTGTCTACTGACCAGCAAGTCTGAGTTTGCTTGTAATATAAATTTAGAGACTGTCATTTTAAAGGCAAGTGACATTTAAAGCAGTAAATAAATGTCCATATCCAATATCTATAACAGGAGGAATTGTGGCTAAGATCCACTATACTTAAGTATTTATGTCAAAACATAGTTCTAATATTAATAGTCTAAAGCATATGTGTGCATTTTAATTTTAATGCATGTTTTAAAGGATTTAATTTTTGAACTCCTTAAAGATTCATACTAGTTTCTTAATTATTGACTGCAATTTATATATTCATAAACTTTTTTGAAGCATTAAGCCACAGTCTGTCAGTACTTAAAAGAGTATCTGGTATTAATGATATTCAAAAAATATATATATTCAATCATGTCTAATCATCCTCCTCAAATCAGCACTTCTCCAATAGAAATTAATTCATGGCAGCATGAAAGGAACATGAGCATTAGATGATTGTTGGTTAGACATATTGGATAGGAAAGTAATACTAAATTTACATTTAGTTAAATTTCCATAGAAAGGAAAGCATAGTATTTGTGCATTGAAATATATCATCATAATGGAGAAATTAAATTTTTTTAGTCCCCTTCCCTTTACCCACCACACACAATCTACTTACATTTTTCTCATTCTTCCTCATTCCCTTTCTCTTTCTTTGCTTCTTTCTTCCTCTTTTCTTCCTACAGCCCCCACTTTTCTCTTAGGATACCTAACACTAACTGAAACACTAAGCAGGACCATGTGTTCTGTCACAAGAGAGATGTTCTTGTCTTTATTTCCAATTAGTGACTGATAAAGACAATATTCTTTTTCAGTAGCACTAATGTGAAGTAAAGCAATACTCATTTTCCCTATCATTTTGATTTGCTTTTACACTTTATTTTTCTTTTCTATATCTCCTTTCTTCCTATACAATTCAGAATATATTAACCTTGTGTTACAAACATTAAAAATGGATATTATGATGTGGTATCTAAATGAATGGAATCTGAGAGATCAAACATATTCTATATCCATAACACATCCAGCATCACAATATGCAATGGATAAATAATAGATTACAAGTTCAGACACTCAGTTTTGGTTCTTAAAAACAAAAACTAGCCTGACCAAGCAGCTCTTTTTCCATTTTATCATACATAAAAAATAATTGGGAGTAAATATTTTATATTCTTCACTTTTTAGTTTACAGAGACATGGCAAAATCCATTTTTTTTCAGTGATTGGAAATCTGGTAAAATATTGAAATGCAAAAATAACAATTTATAATTTTCCAACAGTATTTAAAATATTCAGGAAACAAATATTGTAATTAATATTTAGTGCAGAAAATCACATTTTCTAAAAGGTTCAATTCATACTTCATAGACGGGTATTTTGCATACGTGAAAAATCTATTAATTAATACACATGTATGTTAAAAATGCTATATGTAATTAAAACCAATTGTACGATTATATTTTATTCATATGTGACTTGATTCTCTGGGTTCTCAATCTCTCTTGGTCCACTTTACTTTCCCACAGACAGAAGCTTTTGCATTGGAGAAGTTTTACCGTTTCTCAGACACGGTAAATCCACTTTCTTAACACTAAATATGGGCATGTGGTCATCTGTGAAAAGCAGACAGCATATCTGCTCCCAGGCAGTGTTTGGTGGAGAAATATGGCCCCTTCCAGATTTAAAGCTAAACCAACTCTGCCTCGCTTTAGCTGAGGATGGTCTCTGTTGTTGTGTTTTTGTTGTTGTTGTTGTTTTAACTTTACTTGTCTTCCCTATTCAGTGAAAGGTTTTTAAAATATTGTTGTTATTAATGAAGTTGTTTCATTTGTCAAGATGATTTTAAGTATCTATTAAAGAGAAATGTCATATATATCCCATAATACCTATAATAATCTCTTTAAAAATAAGCATATAAAATAAATAAGCATGTAGTTTGATAAAATTAGTTCAAAAGTAGTCCCACTTGCCAGAAAATAAAAATATCAAAAGCAATAAAATGATTTGTGGTGGTGGTTACGTGCCGTAGAGTCGGTTGCAATTCATAACAACCTTGTACAGGGGTTCTGAGGCTGTAAATCTTTATGGGGTCAGAAAGCCTCATCTTTTCTCCAGCAGAAGAGCTGACCTTAAAGTTCACAACCTGATTATTCATAACCACTATGCAACCAGAGCTCCTTAAAATGCTTTGTACAGTCTATATAATTATAATTTTAGAATTTGTTCTTAATGTCAACTTATGGTAACATTCTTCTTAGAATATGAATGATACTGATTTTGAAAGTAACATCCTTTGAAATTGTTGAATAATAAAAATCACAAGGATACATGCCCTCATATAATAGCTGTATGTTTAGAAAAGAAGTCTTGGGCAGCGAATATTGGTCCATAGATAGCTGTTGTTGTTGTTGTTGTTGTTGTTAAGTGCCATTGAGTAGACTCTGGCCCATAGCATTCCTATATAAGGTTTCCAATGAGCAGCTGGTGAGCTTGAACCACCAACTTTGCAGTTCAAACGGCTTTGCAGTCTGGCGCATTAACCCACAGCACCACACCAGGACTCCATAGATAGCTAGAGTTGGATAAATATAATATTCAATGCCTGAATATACATCTGCCAAATACAAGAATTTAGCATGGAGAATCATGTACAAATTGTTAGGTCTACTAAAGTAAAATTTCTTAGGTAAAGTACATTTAAATACTCCCCAGATGATTTTACTATGCATCTCTGGCTAAGAAGTACTTCAGACCCAACAGGTTAGATGAAAATTTCAATAATCTCAACTTCAGGATATATTTGTTGTTGTTGTTAAGTGCCATCAAGTCAGTTCCAACCCATAATGACCTTGTATAGAATTTCTGAGGAGTAATTGGTGAGCTTGAACCACCAACCTTGCAGTTCAAATTGCTTTGCAGTTGGGTACATTAATCCACAATGCCACACCAGGACTCCTTCAGGACATATTTAGGCGCAGTATTATTTATAAATATTTATTAAGCTTTTATGTTATCATATACAATCACTCAACTATGTTCTTTGCTACTGAAATTGCATGGTATTTTCCATCTTAGCTACTGTCCTTTTGTTTTTCATTCCTGGAAAAATAATCTCAAATGAATCAATTGCCTTTACTTCATAAGCTTAAAAGCAAATCTTTTAATTGCATGGAATTTTCATAATGAGTGTGGTGCTGTAGGTTCAACACTAGATGATCTACAGTTCAAACCCACCAGCTGTGCCTTGGAAATCTTATACAAGTTCACTATGGATCAGAACTAACTCGAGGACACTTAACAACAACATGTAGATTTTGGAAGATAGATAAGCATATACATAGATGGCTAGATGGATAGATAGATAGATAGATAGATAGATAGATAGATAGATAGATAGATAGATAGATAGATGACAGATGAATGATGTTAGGCATCGTCGGACTCATAGTGGCCCTATGTACAACAGAACTAAACAGTGCTTGATTCTCTATTCTAACAGTTGTTATGCATGAACCATTGCTTTTACAGATATATAGGTTTGGAAAAACATAGCTAACTCACCCATAAATAAACAAAGGGACTGAGCTTGCACAATGTTCAAAGTGCTCGACTACTGACCAAAATGGCTCAGTTCAATCAGAGGCATATCTACAGAAAATAGTGCCTAGGACAATTCATTTAAATTGCTAGCTGCTCTCTCATAGCCGGCTGTAGAAATCACCATGATGAGTAGAACTTCTCATTGGCATCCCCCACAAGTGGCACCTAGACCATATAACGTAACTGCCATACCTTAGGTGTAGGGAAGTTCTACTCTGCCTTATACAGTGTCAGTATGAGTCAGAATTTATTCCATGGCAATGAGTTTATAACCGAAAGCACATCTTTAATTAAAAAATGCTTTAGAAAACAATGCAAGAAAACTTTAATACAAAACCAGGCTTATTCACCCCATAGATTAATAAAAATTATTTTTTAAAAGAAATATGATAAAACAAATATATACATTATAAAATATAGTCATACTAATGATTTTATAATATTCTAATTATTATTAGTGTGGCACTGTAGGACCAGCACTGAACTGCGAACCACTAAGTGAGCAGTTCAAACCCACCAGCTGCTCCTCAGACACCCTATACAGGGTCACTATGAGTCGGAACCAACTTGATGGCATTTAATAATCTATGTAACAAACTACTATACATCTATTTGACTTATTTTTTTGTTTTGTTTTGTTTTTTGTGTATTTTTTTTGTACATTTCAGAAGTTAGTCTCTACATGTAAAAGACCCTAGGCTGACTGGATGAATTATTTATTTAAAACTATAGCTTTTTCTCAGAAAGAGTCTGAGCAGTCTAAATCTTTAAAATAATGAGTCTAAAGTTTAACTATGCCTTTTATTTCCATGAGCATGTTTTCATAAATTTTCTCAGTGTCCTGATTTCACAGAATAGGCAAAGTAAAAAAACAAAACAAAAAACTTCATTATAGAAAGTTTGTCAAAACAGGGAACCTTATATGAATGTAAATATTATTCCTAAGGAAGGGCTAGCTTGGTTCACCATTGTCTTAATATGCATTCTTTTATATGTATTTCCTCTACTCAGGTCTACTATTAAAGCACCAATGAATTGTCTATTATTAAAAAAAAAAAAAAAAAAAAATTCCTGGTATCCAGATTTCCCCACCCCACACTGCCCAAAGCCTGCTGTGTGCTGATTATCCCCTGACCTTTTATATGCTTCTCCCCAGTGCTCTATATGTATGGATGCATGTGTGACATAAAAGTATTTTGGATAAAAGCTGCTCTTCCCATTTATGATATTACTTAAATCCTGTGTACGTATAGACTTGTCAAATTGTTTGTCTACATATATTATTTTTTGTGATATATGAATGAAGTGGGATTGCATTAATTAATGCATTTCATTTATCCTCTTTGGTATTGCAATGTACTGATACAACAACTTTCTGCAAGAAAACATTCTCAAAATCTCCTACTACCTCTGTCTTCCTACTTGTTATTGTATGTTTATCATTTATGTATAAAGACCCCATTATTTTTAAGGACTATTTATTAGTGAATCTGAATAAAGCCTTAAATGCTAACCAAAACGCCAGTGACTGGACTGCACCAGCAACTCAGCACAAGAGAGATGTGGCGGTCTGTTTCTCCAATCATTATTGTTGTTGTTAAGCGCCGTCGAGTTGGTTCTGACCATAGCGACCCTGTATAGTGTTTTCAAGGAGCAGCTTGAGCTTGAACCGCCGACCCTGCAGTTCAAACCGACTTTGCAGTCCAGCACATTAACCCACAGTGCCACACCAGGACTCCTGTTGTTGTTAAGTGCCGTGGAGTCGGAACCGACCCATAGCGACCCTGTACAGGGTTTCCGAGGGTGTAAATCTTTACGGGAGTAGAAAGCCTCATCTTTCTCCCGTGAAGCAGCTGGTAGTTTCGAACTGCTGACCTTGCGGTTCACAGCCCGATTCGTAACCACTATGCTACCCTAGAAATTACAGCCCTGAAAACACTATTGTTGTTGTTAGGTGCCATTGAGTTGGTACAGACTCATAGTTACCCTATGCACAACTGAATGAAACACTGCCCAGTCCTGGGACAACCTCACAATCTTTGCATGCTTGAGCCCATTGATGCTGCCATTTTGCCCATCCATCTCGCTGGGGGTCTTCCTCTTTTTCTCTGACCCTCCACCTTACCAAACATGATTCCTTTTCCAGCAACTGGTCTTTCCTGACAATATATCCGAAGTATGAGAGACGATGTTTGGCCATCCTGGCCTCCAAGGAGCACTCTGGCTATTGGGTAGTACTATACTGACTTGTAGGGTCACTATGTGTTAGAATCTATTCGATGACAATGGGTATCTTTTTTTTTAATATAAACAAATAAAGTAGGGATGGTCCATTACTTCTAGATTTAAGAAATCATGACCAATTATTATTTTGCTAAGCACAATACCTTTTTGCATAAAGATATCATTGATTGCATTCTGACTATACATAAAATGAAAATTATTTTATTTGCTTACATATTTATTTACTTGTGTATTTGCATGCTGTCTTACTTTAAAACATAACTAAAGCTAATGTTTAAAGATAATACATAATTGATTTTTTTCTGCCAGTGCATGTTTTCAACACTATAGTCTTAGGACAAAAATGCACATATATGTGAATACTTATTGGGGTTTAAGTGATAAGGCACCACATTGAAAATTAATGTGTTATTACATATGTAAAGTTGTGCAGTCATTCTTCCATTCTAGGTTAATTTATTCTATATTGTTTCAATAGACAGAGTAGTACTTAGGAACTTTTTTCACATATATACATGAGAAAAGTAGATTCCAATAATTTTATTCAGACAAAATTTTATTTGAATGACGATGATACTCATGAGTTGATAAGTCATTCTCTCAAGTAATATAACATTTTAAGAATGTATTTATTTCCTATAAACCAGTATTTAGAGTTAGTGTTAAGCACAGATAATTTTTGAACCTATATCTTTTCTGAGACATCTGTTCGGGAAAATAATATTTA